AATGGCTTCAGATTCGTGTTGCTTTAAGTCTCCTTGGGAATATATACCTACTTATGCTTTTTTAGCAATAATTTAATATACGGTCATCTCTCATATCTGGAGTAATGGTGCAGGTAGCATACATCAGGTGCAAGAAAAATGTTGGTATTACTATGGAATTGAGACCTAGGCTGGCATGAGAGGAGCCAGCGGCACCGTCTGCCAGTGGCTGGACATGACTCCCCAGCACAGGAGCTCCACGGAGGATGCACCACTCCTGCGAGTCAGAGGGCACAAAGCGCTCTCCCTGTGCAGCCCAGCAGCTGGAACAGCTGGAGCCCAATTCTGCTCTGCCCTGGTGGAGGAAGGGGCTTTAAGCTGGACGAGATCAGCACATCCTTCAGCCCTTAAGTGTGCTCCTGGGGCACAGTCCTGTTTGCGTGGTAAGCTACTGCTGGGTAGCATGATGCAGAAACAAAACGTTCACATGAATGGTCTCTCTCACGACGAGTGATAATTTATCTGCAAGCCAGAGAGCAAACACAGCCTGCAAAAAAACCACGAGGTATCTGAAGCTGGAAATCTCCTTCGCAGTGGGTCTCTCCTAGCTGGGTTTCCAGAATCCAATTTGTAACACGGTCATAAATAAGTTTCCCATTTTTCCAGCTAGATCATAGTGTACCAGTTAGACTTTATTCTCTTAAAAAAATTTATCATTTTACTACTGTTAACAGGCATTTCTAATATGACATCACTAAAATACTACAGCTTTTGCAGTTTCTCCCATTTTAAGTCTTCTTTACAATTTACCTTGAAAAAGATACTTACTTCTCAGAGGCCAGTGACGTAAAGCTCTCCACTTGTCCCCCAGCCAGGATGATGCTTTTCTCATTCAAAGGATTGACTATTTGATGAAGAAATCGAGTCGCTCCAGACTTCCAGGAGTTGTAGCCAAATAGAAGAACCACCCGGAGATCTGGGTTATTCTTCAGACCTACAAACAAAACCACAGACACAAATCCTCTTATTTTTAAATCCTGACCCCAAAGTCCAACCTTCCTAGTCTCTCCTCAAATAATATATCACACCTTTAGTCATGGCCTTCCCTTGCTGCAATTGGGAAAACAAGACACAAGCTGCCCAGGCATCCAGGGGCTGGGCTGCATTCCCCACCCAAATGAGAATTCCTGAAAAGCAGCTAGCAAGGAAAAGAAGACTCCATCTGCTTCCTCCAGCTTGCAACTTCTTTAGCAGAACTTCTGAGTTTTACTACAGGCTCTGAAGGCACAGCTCTTCAGTTTTATTTGGCAGCCTTAATTGTTCTTTTACAGATTAGAAGTGAGAGTACAGGTTATTCAACAAGAACCACAATGCAGTAAATAGCTCTGCCTGAAAATTAAACACATGACATACAGCAGCCAGTTACTTATCCCAAGGCAGAAAATCCTGGAGTCCTAGAAGACTCAAGAAATCCTCGTCACATTACTCTCCATAAATGACCTACGCTGCTGAGGAGACAACGCGAGGAATGTAAACTGTATTTATTGAAATATCCTGTCTTCTGTTCCACCTTTGCTTGCTGTAACACCTGACTTAGGATCTAAACGCAAAGTTATTCTGGGGAAGAAGAGAACCAGCTCCTCCACGCTCATTTCTGAACTGTAGTGATGGGAGCCATTCCAAATAGCACAAACTCATTTATCATTATTTGTAACCAATTAGAGGTTGCTCGAAACCTAACAGCACCACTTAGAACCCAACTGAGGTAATCTGAGATCAACACTCAGGGTAACTTAATCTTAATACTCAGGAGAACAGGAAGAAGAGAGATACATAATTACCAGCTGCAGCCCTGGAGAGCCACAGAGGGCTCTAGGAACGGAGTTGGCACAGAAGCTGTTGCTTCCGCGCTGGTACCTAAAGGAGCAACACAACACTGCACAAAAGCCCAAATACTGGGGAGATCAAGGACATACCTGCTTCAGCAAATTTACTTTCATCAAAGACCCTGTTCTTTGAGTCCTTTGAAAAATGGAAAGTATGAATCTTCACCCCGTCGATTTTGGGAAACAACAGAGCAAACCCAGCTTCGCCCTCTTCAATTTCTTGAGGCTGATTGCTGCCTGAACCCATAGGGGTAACTACAAAGATACAAAACCAGACATCTCATGTTCAGTGATTCTAATACTTTTCTAATACTAATATAGTGATTCTAATACTTTTGTCTACACTGTAAGAGAGATTAAAAGAGGCAGAACAGCTTAGATGATGTCAAACATGATAGTTCATTTCTGTAACAACATATCTAATTGACAACTGGGGTGATAGTTTCCGTTGACGTTTTGGCAGGAGTCCTCCTGGCTATCCATCACGCTGAAGTCACTGTGGACAAGCAGACATGGATATATTTGGACATTTCCCTCCAGCCACACCAAACATGCATCAGTTGGAAAACAAGCACCAGGCAATACAACTCTCTCAAGCCTTCCTGCCAACTTCTACAGGCACGCAAATGTACTCAGATTTTTAAGGTGTTGTACAAGCGTGTGATGACAGTATAAAGCAAACTGACAGACATACTGAGAGCGTATTATTGAATTATCTTGGTGATAACAATCAAACACCCTACTCATGCTCTGGGAAGAGACTTTAAGGTGAGAAAGTAGGAAAAAGTTTTCTAACGATAAAAAAGTGAAGGCACTAGAAAAAAACTGCCAAAGGAGGCTGTGAATTTTCCATAGCTATTGCCTGTGCCTCCTGCTGGAGCATAAAAAACAGCAACATACTGAGGATGTCCTGTACATTTAAGTAACAATATAACTCTGAAAAATACATTAAAATGCCAGGGAAAAAAAAGCAATAAGCTGCCTGCTCAATTAAATCAACCCTTTTAGTTATAAGTGCATCACACAAAGTAAAAAATTAAGCTCCACATGACTTAGCAGCAACATTATGAAGTCCTTAAAATTTAACGTAGCACTGAACAAGGTGAGAACAGAACATGGTAATTGCTGTGCAAACTCTCCCACCAGTCTGCAGGACTACGCTTCCAAAAACATACAAAATTGTGATAAACTGGACCCGATGTGCAATTCACTGGACACCTTCAAGCCGATCTCTCCCAAAATCACACGTTTTCTTCCTACCTACAACCCCCGGGGTGACCAGTCCGAGAACCTGGCATCGCTTCGGCAACAATTTTTCGAGCGCAATTGCTGTTTCTTTACTGTTTCTTTTCCTGGCTGTTAAAAAAAAGAAGAGGAAAAAAAACCCCACAGGGATTAGTAAAAATTAGCTGTTCTGAGTGGTACCGGAACACACCCCGCAGTCAATCCCATCCTATCTGTCCAATGCTGCCCATCAGCGGCTGCCCTGTTAACGGCATCTCTACTAATCCGTACTAATTGGTATGAACACACGGAACGCAACCAGCATCCTCCCGCGGGTAGGCACTCGCCTGTATGGAATAACGCCTCTCTAAGCTGCTTCACACCACAAATACAAACCTACGGGGTCGTGTGTTTTTTTGCAAAAGCGTTACTTTCCCCCGAAATTCAAGCTCAGAGGATTCCCTTCCGGCCGGGTTCCCTCTACGCGCCGCCCCCTCTCAGGGCGGGTTAAGGCCCTTTACCTCAACCCTTCCCCTCAGGTTAAGGCTTTACCTTTCTTTTGCTCGTGACACTCCTCGTGCCCGCTGAACGTCCCCGCGTCCGCGATGTACAGCACGGTCTGCGGCAGCACCTGCACCTTCTGCGGGGAGAGGGGAGAACCGGGGAGCTGCGGCGGGGCGGGGAGGGACGGAGCGGGGCGGAGGGGCGGCGGAGAACCCGCGGAGCCGCCGCGGAGGGCCCGGCTCCCGCCCCCCCTTCCCCTCAGGTGCCCTCAGGCCCCCTCAGGCCGCCCGCGCGCGCGCGCACCCACCTCCAGCTCGCGGGCCAGCGCGCGCACCAGCGCGTGGCTGTCGG